TACAGGGAGGTACTGTAGCAATATTGAGAATATAAAATGTTTTTAACAACTGGTATATATCTGTACTTTCTCGCCTACATAACTTAGTCTTTCCTTGTTCCTCCACGTTCACTAATGCTCTCCTATCAACTAAAGCCATATGCATTCCCATTTCAAACTCTTATATAGTGTGATGTATGCAAATTAAGGCTTCAGTCATGGCATGGTGGTTCGAACTTTGCGGACCGATTACTAACCACTCACTAGGTTATGGTTAGCGCAGATTTTAAAAAAAACCCTTTCACAGATGTTTCGACCACCTCCCCTTATATATATCAAGATATAGGCCTACGTGTATATATATATATATATATATATATATATATATATATAATACTGTATATAAACATTATATATATATATATAAATTGTATATACATATATAATTAGTAATAGGAAAACGAGATAAACAAAAACAATAAACGGCCACACAATGCAAACAAAATAGAATCGTACTGTATGATCTTAAACTCTTATATATGGTGATGTCTGTAAATTCAGGCTTCAGTGATGGACATCATTGTGATTGGTGGTTTGAAACCACTGTGCTGTGGCTAGCGCCATAGGAATCTACATGTTACTACATGTTAAATTTCAAAAACCCTTTCACGACGTTTACCCACCCACCCTCTCTTTCTACCAAATATATGAGGCGTGGAGGCGGTATGAGATATGAATATGAAATTAAATTTAATGTCAGTGTGTGTAATTGTTCATAGCAAATATACTGTAACACGATTCAAAATACAACAACTAAAGGAATATATATCCGTGTACATAGCTTAGCCTTTCCTTTCTGTTATTCCAATGTTCACTAACCGCGAAGGCTCTCAACTAAACACAAATACTGTACTGTACATGCCGATCTTAAACTCTTATAATAGGCAGATAGAAGCACGTACTTCGGTCGTAAGCGTCATTGTCGCTATAACTACGGCCATTACGTAATTACAACAAGGTAGTTATTTAAATATTATTTATTTGGGGCAGTGAGAGATTGCGATCATATTTCATTTGGCCTGTTTTAGACACTTTCGTCCCATATCTGGTTGGCCTACAGTATAAACCATCAATCTAGCGTGCTAATCTAACCACATTTGAATTCCATCTTTAACGGAAAAAATATCATACTATTAATTAGGCCATTTATTAAAATTAGGTTCTCTGAAGGTTAACTACAGTATTTACATTGCAGTTAAAGTGTAGCCTATTATGTTGTAAAAACTGTAGGTAAACTTATATAGAATAAAAATACTTTTCTCTTGGCATTAAGAATTAGTTTTTAAGTATTCAAAAATCTGTATCTCGTTCACCGGTCCCCATGTTTTTGTCAAACAACTTTTTACTGTCTTAGAATAATCAGTTCTACAACATATCCATTTTTCCCCCTCCGGAGTCTGACTTTAATAATGCACCATGCTCATGGCTAGCACAATACTCTAATGCATTTAGGCTTTCAGGGAATGTTTAACCTGTAGGTTTAAAAAAAAAAAAATCCCTGTCGAATTTTACATTGTGTTCCTCCAACATCAAATGGAGCAGACTCTCATTTATTCTCGTCAGGGAAGTAAATTTACTAGTCCCGGCGGGAAGACGTTCTAAAATTCTAGAGAAAAACATTATATAAATATAAAAATGTATGAATAATTATGACAATGGTTTAATCGCATGCGTGTAGTAGGGGACACTTCTGTCACGCGTGGAGATCTAGAATTACTAATAATAAGAGTAAATCACGAATTCTACTTTTGGTTATTTGTACGTTTATCTCTGTTTACTCTCGACGGGGAAGTATTGTATTTTGTAACCAAATGTTTAAATTTTTTGAGGGGAAAAGTTTCGTCGAATTCTTTCCCTTCGGCAATTAAGGGATGCCAAAAAATAAACTTTACTTAACGAATATTAAGGTTTTCGAAAAAGAATCAGAGAAAAGTTTTCTCCTAAAAGAAATAATGCATATGTGTTTTCTCCAAAAGCAAAGCGACATGAAATTATGTTGCCCTAGTCGTAGAAGGACGTTCTAGTTTCAACTGTCTCGCCTGGAGAAGTTTCCCGATTAATTCTATTGTTTTATGTTGGAGACGGCTTGGCGTTTACTGGCTGTTAAACATGTGGCGTAACAACGAGTTGTCAGAAAAAGTTTTTTAAAAAAGTCATGATAGAATCATAGGCGTAGATCCCGGGGGGGATGGAGGGGATATATCCCCCCAATATTTGACAAGG